ATATTTTTTACTTAGAAAGTATATTGCTAAAATTAATTGTTAAAATTTTATTATAAAAATTAATTTTAAAAAAATTATGCAGGCAAATTTGCCTGTATTACAATCTAAGGGATAGCAATTGGAGTTGAAAAAGATGAACTATGGTAATATTATCTTTGGGCAAGTTATTTTCTTATTAATTATGTAGTTTTTTTTGAAGCCTACTCATACTATTTGTTGAATTAGTGTATTGTAAATTAAAACACTTATTATTTTATCTATTTTCCTAGATTAGCTTTCAAAAAACAGCAGAGATGGGTATGTTGATAGAATATATAATATTAAATTTAGTTATCAAAATAGAATTGGAGTTGAAAAGGATGAAAACAAAGCACTTAATTCAAAAATCTACTGATATGTGTTATATTATTAAATGCTATTTTTGTTTAATAAATCGATCTTCTATTCAAATCAAAGTAAAAATATGATTATGAGTATATAGCATACGAAATATAAGAAATATATACTAGTTATTCATAACAATCAAGTCTCAAATTAATTGTTTTTAATAAAATAATAGTATTTGGTAATTATAATTCTTAATTAGATAATAAATTACATATTTAATATGCATTATTAAATTTAAATTTATAATTGTTATATATTTAGAGTTGACAAGCTAACTGCAAGCAATTTTATAAATATAGCTTGCTTAAATAAAGTTTTTACTAACATTACTTAGTTTAAGCATAGTTAAGTTTAAGAAAGTTACTTCTGTTCTGATAAGCAATTTCTTAATATAATTGTTTAAAAGAATAAAAGAACCTTCATATAGTTTGCTAGTATAAATCAATTAGAAGGTAACTTATTTATACTTTTGAGTATATTTTGAGAACATAATAATTTACTTATAAAAAATCATAAATGCCATTTGAGATTCAGTATTATTGCTTAATTCTGCTGAATCTTGGTTGCTTTATTAATTTACCCTAGATTGATAGTTGAAAATTATATCTAGATATAGGGGATGACTAAAACTGTATTTGTGTTAAGGTCACTTTTTTGATACATTTAAAATTAGTAGTTTATAAAAATATCAAGAATTTATAGATATTAATTATCATTTCGGTCAGATACTATGCTATTATGTACATATATGCAATGTTTAATAGATGTATATGAGTGTGTGAGAGTGAAAACTAGGAAATAATTTTTTTTTAACTCCTGAGGAAATGTATTGTCGATTTGTGTTCTAGTAGTTTCAGTAACACAATAATAATCTTATTAGAACATAATAGAGTGTTCACATAATGATAACAAATTCAACCAGATTTGATCTATTTTTAATTTAATTATAAAATAAAATAATAAAAATTTTATCGAATTTTAATTTGGCTGTTTTCATGATATCGCTAGTGTTATTTTAGATGCTAGAAATAACTGGACACTTTGGAATATGACAAATACGATAACGATAATGATAATATATTGTATGATATCAATATGTGTTTGAAAGTGAAAACCTATAACTGATCATGTAAATAATTAAATATAGTTTCAGGCTTTCACTCTCAAACATAAATAAAAGAAAATAATACGTTACGGAATTTTTGAATTTTCAAATCGTTAAGATTGTTACTTCTTTGAAACATTAAGAGAGCTCTAGTAACTTACAGATAATAGGTATTTTTATTTCTTTTTGTACTCTCACAATTCACAACTAATTACAACTAATTATATTTCTTTTTAATATTTTGTTTTTGTTGTGTCTCTTTTGCACAGGCCCTTTTCCGATTTCCAACCCTTTCAATTAAATCATCACTTGGTTTTGAACAAAATTTGTCACAGAAAGCAATAGGGCAATATGGGAGAATGTTGTTCCAAATGTCAACTTGTTTTTCTTCAGAAAGACCTTTTGGCAAGAGTTCTTGAGGATTTAAACTTTCAGCATTGACATTCGGTTTTAATAATTTGAATTCATCCTATGAATCAGTAAATCTGATCTTAACTTTCATTATACTAGGATTTTTATTGTAAATTGGAAAAAATGATATTTTTGAATTGCTGGAGGTTTATAGTACAATAATTTAAGTGATAAGGTCCAGTTACGGAATGGACTTGTTTAATTATCTAAGTTTACAGAAGAATTATTACTCACACTCCTATTTATTACTTCAACTAACTGATCAACACACCAAACTTCTGATTTGGCATACTCTTTTTTAGTATTACCAAATCCTCAGTCAACAGAATTTCAAGTATGCTCTTTGATCTGGAAGCAATATTTGATCTTTTGAAATATCCAAATGTGACAAGCCCATAGAAAGTACTATAGTAAACATGAGTTTTTATTCTGCCTACCACAGTTATCCACCCATAATCTAATTTTATTTTGTTAATTGTAATTTTTAAGAATAATTTATTTGTGATTATTAAATATAAAAAATATTAATTAATATTTACCTGATTTCATCTGCTTTACCCAAAACAGAAGTGAGAAATGAATGCACTATAGATGTAACTTCATTGGCTCCTTTTGATGCTTTTGCTTCTGTATAAAGAACATGCCAATAGTGATCAATACCTTCATTCACTAATTCAAATTGGTGTACTTTCAACAATAATGAATAGTACCACCTTCCTGATTGTTAAGGATCATGAGGCAACTTAACATTTTGAGTGAAGTCAAAAGAAAAAACACAAAATGCAGATCAATCGCACTCTTTTGCCATTCGAATATCATTTTCATATGCCTCCTTCATAAAACAATAATCAATTATATGCTTGACAAATTGGATATCAAGGTTTTCATCTACACTATTGCACTCTTTTAACACATATTTAAATAGAGTACATTCGTCACATACATCTTTTGATAGTTTTCTAATTATGGTCTTACTTAACTCAGCATCGTTCTTCCATATTCTTCGAAAACTCCAATTACTTACATGATTATCTGGATGTGTTAGGTTATAAAAAACTAAAAGCCGATTATAGGAATAATGAAATGAAAGAAAGACAAGATTATTCTTTTTGTATTGTACTGTTATTTGTCCATTCATTTTTTTTCATACATATTTTCAAACAGCTACTAACTCACCATGTTGATTACCAATTAATCTAATAAAAGATTTTATTTTTTCAGTTGTTTCAACTGATAGTTTAACAACAGATGAATGACCAGTATTTCCATGAAGTAGGGGAAGCATTGTCTGTTTTTTTTGAGCCCATCCGCGAAGACAATAAAAAGTATTTTTACCACATAACCAAAATGTTCAAAAAAAGTACTACAAACTTCACCAAAGTATAGTAGCAGATACTTGGTAGCAGATACTTGGTATGGGTTTGTTTTTTGTGTAGCCCTTTATCAGAAGAACATATAAGTAATGAAATTAAATGACATCGTTGCTTTTTACTCATATTAATACTCTCTAATGCTAAAGACTATAGCAGAAATGACAAAATCTTTTCACTACATTTATTTTTACACAAACAACACAATTTAAGCCTATTAACTAATTTATCAACTGCAGAAATTTCTTCAAGTTCTTCTTCTTCAGTTTCTACACTATTCGAATCTGCTTCTGATTTAAATTGAGTGTCTTTCACTATTTCTTCATTATATTCTATTTCCTCATCGTATTCTGCTTTCTCTTTATCGTACTCGATTTCGTGAGGGGCCAAGGTAACATTAATGTTTAGAAATTTAAAAAAATGCACCAAGTCTTCCGGGATTTCCATTGATTATATTAAAATATTATTAGATTACAGTAATAATAATAAAAATTTAAGCGTTGTAGATTTTAGATTATTACAGTTGTAATGTGAAAAGTTTTTAGATAAGTATATATTTTAAATTCTTATTCTTTATATATTTATTTTTGTATACAATCATTACTAATTTATTTTACAATGTTTTTCGATTTATTTCTATTTAATCGTAAAGAATTTGAGAGTAGTGACAGGACTACAGGAGTTAGAAATAGGTGATACTTAATTGTCGCATTCAATAATTTATTAAGAATCAAATTTTTTAATAGATCACAGTGTATAATATTTAATTTCTAAGCCCTGTATCCTATTACTATTTAAGGGTGTTGTTCTCAAGAGTCTCTTTCAATAAGAGTGTGCAGCTATTTTTAGTATTTAAAATGGTATGAGTAATCTTATGATAACCACATAGCCAAATTCAATCAGAATTGGTTTATTTTAATTCTATATGTCTATATGGTAAAAATAAGAAAATTTTATTGCATTTCATTTAATCATTTTCGTGATATCACTAGTGCTATTTTAGATACTAGAAATAGCTAGACACGTTTTCAATGAACAAGATAAAAAAGAATTTGACTGCCTAGATTGATCAGACAGACCAATTAGCTTTTTTATTATGTTAATTGTTAAAGGTATATAAGAACACCTTAAATCATAGAATTTTATAGCGCTTTCAAGCATTAAATACGGATCAGACCTTATTACCCATTGCCTCACTATTGTTATAAAGTAGAATGTTTTATGCATCATTCATGAGTATTTCATGATCTGTTGCATAAATCGTCACACTGCAAAGATGATTATCATTTTAGATATAATGAGATTTTCATTATCCTTTTTTATCGATTAGAGATGTTAATTGGTGCGTTTAGTTCAGTTTTGTCAAAACAAATCCTACCCTAGTGGTTTATACAGATTTTATAATACTTTTTATTACAAACTTTACCATTATAGGTCAACAAAATCAATGCTTAACTAATTTACCAATTAGAGTATCTGTCATTGATTTTCCAATTAGCAATTTTATTTAAAATACTATTACTCAGAATATATTGTTATTGATTATATTTTATCGAATTTTATTTAATATGTCAAAAATGATACTCGATTCATATCATGTGAAAGCTGGACTGGTTTTGGACCAGTCCCTACTAGTCCTGAAGAAGTCTGGTTCAAACTAGTTTCTTGTGGACTACTTCACATTCCCTATTACCAATAGACAGTAAAATTACTACCTTGCCTGCAAATTATTTTGAATATATATGAGTGCATAAGAGTAAAAACCCAAAAGTAAAATCTTGGACTCTAAAAAACTGTGATTAGCATTTTGGCAATTTTAGTAATTCAATTATTGTATATTATTGAATTATCAAAATGCTGATCACAATTTTTTAGGACACAAACTTTTACTTACATGTTTCACTCATAAAGTATATGCGTAGGCATTATTTTGAAACAAAGGCTAACTTACTGATAACTTAGTTTTTAAAATAATCATTTAGGCACAGGAGAACTTAAATAGAATTAATAGAGCTAAATAGACATATATTCATTGAAACATGACCAGGGCGGCCACCGATTTTACAGGTTATATGGGTGGTGCCACCAATGTTCAATATGCACAATATGCAATACAGGATCAAAATTTTCATCGCAATAGTAGCACTATGAATACAATTGCTGCAGATGATGCTATCTACATGACCTGTAAAATTGGTGGTCACCCTGGTCGTGTCATCCATTGAGATTTATTCAGAGATTTATTTTTTTTTCTCAATAGACAGCTAATTTGCCAATCTTGCATTCAGATGATTATAAGTAGGTGCATTTAATTATTGTCTCTTAAAGATTTTTATTGGATAATTTTTTATTGTTTACACAAATCACTCGAAAAAAAGAAGAAAATACGTGTGTTTTATTCGAGTATCATTTAGGGATGTTAGTGGTTCAATTCTGATCCGGTTTCCAAAAGTCTAATCCCGAACTGGTTAAGGATTAGTTTATTTACCAAATTCTAGCATTTTAATATAACATTGGAACTTTAAAACAATTAAAGTATTTACTAATTTGACTTAAATTTACCAATTGATGTATATAATAGGCTAGTAATTAATCACTCAATTATTAAATTTTAACAGAGCACAGGTTTTTTTCAATTTTAACAGCTGCTCTATCTAGTATGTTAGAAGTGCATTGAGTATAACCCAAGCTCGCATAAGGAGAGCATATTCCTACGTTATGAATACAAAAGTAAAATTTCCAATTGTACTATATAATAGAAATTTTACTTGGAATTTGTAATATAGGAAAATGCAAGCTCAGGTTTGTGTTTTTTAAGGGTGAACTTCGATTTTAATTATTAAGCACTAAAGATGAAATGAGTGCGTGAAAGTGAAAATCAGGAAATATATTTAATGATTTATTATAATTGGTTACAGGTTTTCACTCTCATGCACTCAAATAAAGACATTTGATTATATTTAAAATCTGCCAATAGTAACAATTCTGTTGGCCAATATAGTCTCAGACATTGTTACCAATATAGTATAGGCATCAATATAGACAAAAGGAAGCATTTGAATGGTAATTAAAATCTGCTAATGGTGGTAATTCAGCTGTTCAGCATAACCTTAGACATTGTTACCAGTATGGCATAGGTGCAGCTAAAGGTGAAAAGAAAAGGTCTGAATGGTATTTAAAATCTACAAAAAATGATAGTTCTAATAAAGAAATAATTTTAACACTGATCAAATCGAAAAATATTTGAATGGTATTTGGAATCTGTTAATGGTGACAACTATGTTGAACAAAGTATTGTTACCAATATAGTATAGACACTATTAAAGATGAAAAAAAACAATTATATTGTAAAAATATGTGTCTGTAATAATTGAACAGTATTTATTATCGAAGTGTATTAATAAATTTTATATAATCTTCATTATAATGTCATATTTAATTATGCTAATTTATTTTATTATATCGTATAATATTCTTATATAATAACCTCTAATTTTCTTCAAAAATATGCATCTTTTAAATTTACCAAAATGCCACCTTGATGATCTCATGCACGCGATTTAAGCAAAGCACACAATTCTTATATTCAATATCTTCAAAACAAAAAACTAAAAAAATTTATCAATATAAGTAATGAATATAGAAGAAAAGTCAATGCACGAAGTCAAACATCTGAATTGAAAAAATCCAAATTAGAAAAATTCCAAATGAAAAAGAGAGATCAAACATCTGAATTGGCAAAATCTGAATTAGAAAAATTCCAAATGGAAAAGAGAGATCAAATATCTGAATTGAAAAAATCTGAATTAGAAACATTTCAAAGGGAATGAGAGATCAAACACTCGAATTGGGTTAATAGTAAATAAAATCTTGGTTGTTTGAAATTATAACATGCATTATATTTTATTTAGTCAATAAATTCTTACTCATTTCTTAATCTTTACTTAAACAAATCAGTTATGGTTTTATAGTTACATATTTTATATTTGTGAAATTTAAGATTATTTTTTGATTTAATTTTTTATGAACTGTAATTGTTTTTTGAAAGGTTGAGATTTGTCCGGGTTTGTCCAGCAAGTATTGGAATGGTACGAAAACCATGGGTGGATTTTTCTAGCACAGGTTGTTCACAACCTGTGCACAATGTTGCGAGACAGTAATTATAGCATTTGAAGAATGTAGCGCAGTAGTTCATAACGTATTTGAAGACTGAATTTTCATGTTAATAGTTGAAAATAAAAATTGATTTCTCAATTACTGACTGCTTTTATTAAGCTTATAATACTTGTTTATATACATTATAATTTATATTTAATACACTAATTAATTTTTTTTTTGCTATTACTTAAGAATCGTTAGTATTACTCACACATTACGCACCCCTGTGCCTTATTATTTAATTACATCATTAACGTTATACTTAAACTGACTCTTAAATTAATCTCATAACTATGTTTTGATCCATTATCTTATCACGCGAACACATGTTATAGCAACTGACAATAAGAGACCTAATTCATAATAAATACCAGTCTAAGTTAACTATTGAAGCTAAACCAGGCACCTTATAGTGAAACTGCTCTCCTAACAATAATAACTATGAAAGCTTATATTATTTTCAGAATCCTTTTTATGTTTTTTGTTAAGATCTGTTGGTTGGCAAGAAAAATCTTCTCCATAAATTTTCATACAGATTAAACATACCAAATATACTGGACATGCATTAAAGAGTAAATTTAATTTGGATGTATTGACATTATAGTATTATTTTGAATACAATCATTCAGTCAATTTTTTACCAGATGTCCCAAAATTAATAAAAACAGCTGTAATAATCGGGTGGATATTTTTTTTTAAAAAAAAAATCTAACATTTTTATGTATGAAATTTTAAAAAAAGTGGTTGGCCAGCCCTGTTTAAAAATTTCTTGTTACGAAAACCAAGAAAATAAACTAAGAATGTTTATAGATTTTTTAAGTTTTTTTGGTTATCATTATAGAGAATAGTGCCATATCAATATATGGGTTGTTGCCTAGCAAAACCATGCTTAGAGTATATGTTTTTTATATACTCTAAGCATAGTTTTGAAGTATAGCCCAATTTGGATAAGTGTCATGTGCTATCGAAATGACTAGAATACTAATTATATGCATGATGGATTACATAATGACACAATTCATCAGGGGTTAAAAAAAATTTATTTCCTGGTTTTCATTCTCATGCACTTATATGTATTATTACAATATTTATTATATATATAAATGCATATATATATATAAATATTATTGTTTACTATTATTATTATTATTATTATTATTGTTATTATCGAAGTATCTAGTAGTTTTAAATGCATATAGAAATGCACTTCACAAATTAAGATTATTCTTTTTTTGTCAAATAAACTTCAATAAATGTTCATCAATAGAATTTTTGGTTCTGTTATAAGGAGCTATTTGTAATTTTATCCTATTCCATAGTCCTTCAATAGTATTTGTATGAACACCAGTGTTAGGATCTATGAAATTTTTGGAGTAATTTACAATAAAATGAGATATGTTTAACAACTCCTCAATTCTTTTGTAACCTTTTTATAAATCAGTATACAAAATAGAATCAGATAACATATGTTTTGATAATATATCAAGTAAGGTTGCTGCAGTTCTATTAGATACAGTCTCAATGAAACATCTTTTTTCAGCTGTCCTTTTAATTTCACCAACTACCTACACCCCATTAACTCTATGCTCCTAGTGATATTTTCTCTTTTCAAATTTGGACTCATCAACTTTGATGATCACACCTTCACCACCAATTATGTTCTCATCATCCTTCAATACACTAATTATTAATTGCCTAAAATTACATATAATTTGATATCATATTAGATGAATAATCTGTTATTGTTATGTAGATTATTTAGTAATTTTATCAGATAAACTTATAATTTAAGTATTTAGATATAGGAGTATTTTGGTGCACTTACAATGCACTGATCAGAATTAAATATTTTTAGTATCATTTGATTTATTTTATTAAGATGAATTGAATAATACAAAAATTAATCAATTCTGATTATGACTTGAAGGAAGATTAGACATTATTGTGTATCTGTTATATTATGAATAGAAGTATAAGTAGATTTACAAAGCTAAAGGTAACCTACTAATAACATGTCAGAACATTTGAGATAATTATAAGCAAAAAAAGAATCTTTTAGAATTAACACTGATTTATGACAAGATCAACTAATGCATCTGTAAAGCTGATTTTCACAGTATAGTCTAGAATCACAATATTTGCATTTTTCAGGTTTGTATAAAATATCTTTATTAAATAAAAAATCGATACGATATTGTTTATCAAAAAAGATGTTTTGAAGAGATTTTAATGTAGATACTGAGAGTGTAGAAGATGAAGATATATTTAAATCTTTACACAAACGAAATTTTACCAAATATATAAAAATATAATTTTAATGTACATACTACATGAATATAAAAATTATCATAATGTACATACTAAAAATTATTACAATATGCATACTTGCAATACATATACTTACAATGCATATACTATACAAGTATCACTACAACAACTCAAGAATTGATACATGAATAATTATTACAAGCACATACAACCCAAAAGAAGGTTTCACATCATAAGTAGGCTTCAGCTTATAGATCATATAATTTTGAAGTTTATTAATAATAAATGTTACTTTTATTATACTTTACATATATCTATCTTGCATATATTAGACTTATTATTTTTATATAATTCAAAGTTTTATTTTAATTTAAATATAATTAAATATAATTTAAATAGATTCTAAATTTAATAAAATTCTATTGCAACATACAATATAAAAACTATATGAATATATAAAACTTAATTTATTTGAATCACAAAAATTGTATTAATTGAAAAGTTTTATAAATCATGATATTGTACAATTATTATTGATTTCTAATAATATCAATATAAAGTAACTATGTGATTTATTATATTCACAATGCTTTTGGCTTATTAAAAAGTCTAATCACTAATCTAATTAAATATATAAGAGCACATAAGTTTTAACATTATTGTGCTCAAGAAAATATCAACATTTTAAATGCAAATGATAATTAATTTAACAAATAGTAGAATGAGTTTCAAGTAATAAAAATCTCAGATTAATAATAGCTAGCTTGTTAAGATAATACCACCTAATCTAATAAAATAAATGAAATTGTCAAGTATTAACTTTTAATTTACAAAAAAAAATTATAACTTTATATCTGAGTCAACATTGTTTTAACTCAACAATAAATAGCTCACTTGAAGTAATATTGCCTTATGTTCATTCTTTTCAACTCTAATTCTGTTGTCATATTTCTTTAACATAACACATAGTAGCAGATTTTTGAATTGAATGCTTTATTTTCATTATTTTCAACTCCAATTCCATTAGCATATTCTATATCTGCTAATTTTTGATAGTATTTAAAGGCTAATTTAACGAAATAAACAAAATAGTAAGTATTAACTTTTGATTCACAAAAAAGAAAAAAAAAATATAAAGATAAAAAAAACTAGCGAAGTAAGTATAACTTCATATCTCCCAAAGCCAATAGTACTTTAATTCAACAAATAGCAGTCTATATTAACAAAAAATAATTTTACTGAAATTTTAATATTATCCTAATCAGTTTTTTTGATAATAAATAAATGCCTTATGTTCATCCTCTTTAACTTCAATTCCATTGTTAGAATAACCAAATTCATATATTTTTTTAACATAAAACATTAATAAATTAAATACTTTGTGTTCATTTTTTTTAACTCCAATTCTATTAGCATATCCTATCTCTATTGATTTTTGATAATATTCAAAGGCTAATCTACTGAAATTGATGAAATAGTAGGTGTTAACTTTTAATTTACAATATATTAATTTAAAAAAAACTACATAAGTTAATAAGAAAATAACTTGCTTGAAGTTAGAATTGTCTTATGTTCTTTCTTTTCAATTCTGTTATAGAAATAACTAAGCCTACCTATTTTATAATAATATATATCAGCAGATTTTTAAATTAAATGCTTTGTTTTCACTCTTTTCAACTTCAATTCTATCAGCATATTTTATCTCTGCTGTTTTTTAATAATATTTGAAGGCTAATCTAGCAAAATGAACTAAATAGTAAGTATTAACTTTTGATTCACAAAAAATTAAACACAACTTCATATTCAAAATCAACAGTCTCTAATTTAACAAATAGAACAAGTAAACTTCAAAGAAAATCCACTTATATTAACAAGAAATAATTTACCCAATGTTAACATTACTCTAATTAGTTGTTTAATAATAAATAAATACATTATGTTTGTTCTTTTCAACTCCAATTCGATTGACATAAAAATAACCAAGCTTACATATTTCTGATTAGTTAATACACCAATACTATTCTAATAGCACAGACCAGTTCTAAATTGGTCATCAATATTGTAAATTTAAAAACCATTCAACTCTATTTTTTCATTGTTTTATCAGTATAAAATAATCTAAAATTATATAATGCACTAGGTTACTACTTTAAGCAGTTTCTAAACACCATTCAAGTATTTTCGTTTCATCTTTCACAGTATCTATGCTATTTATAAAATGGTTATTGAATCATACAAGTGAGAACTTGCATTGCAATCAAGAAAATTTTAAGTATATACATACTATGTTGATAGACGTAATTTTCTCTCTTTTAACTGCTAATCTGATAACACTATTTATATTGAGTTTTGTAAGTAATGAAATTCTTGTGCTTTTGTATCAGTATTTTACATAAAAAGCAATAAAACTAGGATCTTTAAATCATGTGAAGGGTATTAATGAGAAAGGATTTACCTGAACATTGCTACAGTCTGATCCAACAGAATCACCAATATAACACTAATTCAAAAGGTGTAAATTACTATACTTATCAGTTATTTTGAACATACATATATATGTATCTAATATGTTGTACAATATATGTTAGTCATATATGTTAATTATGTTTTGTAATTATTTGAAATTATTTGTTTAATTTGATTATTGTTGGAGTTGCCCACCTATTCTATATTTCAGAGAGACCTTGCAGAGTTTAAATGTCCATCTATACTATAAAAGATTCTTCAGAATTTCTAAACAAGACTTTTTATAAAGTATATACTTTTTGAATTTATTCATATAATATTGCATACTTTTAAAGTTAGTCTTAATACAATCAGAATTACAAGATACAATCCTAGATGTTCCAATCAAGTTATCAGAATAGAACTATTTTTTAAATTTTTACTATTAGTGAAATTTGAACTTTGAACTTATTGCTTAAAAAATGACAACTTAACCATTACAATAAAATTTTAAAATTGTTAAAAATTTAAAGTTTTAATAATAAAATAGTTTATAATTTATGCAATTAGAAAATTTGATATTTATATTTTATGATATATAATTTTCACTAAGTCAAAAAAAATGTTTTTTTTTGATAACAAAATTTTCTAAAAAAGATTTTATATATAATTTATTATAAAATTGATCATTGGGCGTTACTTTTGTTGGGTATTGTACACTTTATGCTTAAATATTAAAAAAAATTTTTTGATTTTTAAATATAAAAAAAAATTTATAATAAAATTTTTAAACAAAAACTTTAAATATTTATTGTTTAAAATTTCTTAATAATTTTTTTAAAAAAATTATTAAAAATTTATAAAGTATGTGTTTTGAATAAAATATTTTATAAGTAATATATACTTTATATTCTTATTTTGTTCAAAAAAATATTAAATATAATTTAATTTTTTAAGCAAATTTGTTTAAAATGCAGATTAAAAGATATAAGTTATTATATTTATGATACAAATAGAAACTTTTTTGTAAAATTTAATTCGAACTATAAATTTATAGTTACTTAACAATTACAACAATTTAAAAAAATTTCCAATGTTTGATTAACTGCTATGTATAACGAGAAAATTGAAATATTTTACAATGATTATTTATTAGCGTTAGAGAAAGTGATTATAATTTTTTGTTTATACAGTACGTACAAAACTTATAGATTCAACAAATAATTGTAATATGACTTTGTATTAAATTATTTTTTTAATCAAAATAAACAAAAGTCATGTTTTTTACCATTCATATGATTTTCATATGAGAAAACCAATTATCATTAATAAATTATTAATAGATATTATTCGGACTAAAATTTCCTGAAAACAAAGAAACAAATAAAATACTGCGGAAATTTTGTAGTAATACATTTAATGTTTATGATAAACATTTTTCCGACAAAAAAAGATCATCAAATGTGCCTTAATTTTTTTTGAAAAATTTCCGAATATAATCACACAAAGTTACATTATCGTTATGGAATAATTGAAATTAATAATAGTCAATAATAGTCGGATTAACTTAACATTTATCTATAACGATAAGTTGAATGTAATAAATGAAACCCCATGACTAGTCAGAGGTATTTACGTACGTACGTACAAGATTTTATCACTACAATTTTAGAGAAATGAATAAATAAATTCCAGACAAAGTATATACGTATTAAAGCTAGGAATCACCATAATAGATTTAATGAAGTACATTATTAACAATCCTACGTATAAGAAAGTATAAGAAAGGTCTGATCAAAGTTAAAAATAAACATTAATACCCCAAAAAATAATATTGACAAAAAAAACAACAATGTTTATTGAATTGATCCATATGTACATTAAGTATGCATACGTATCAGGATGAACACAAAATATATAACTTGAAAAATAAATCAGAAAATCGATGTCAAAATTCAAGTCGTGAATGTCAAAAAAAAATATGGAAATATATGTAACTGAGTTTAACTGTTTTTAAAAGGTCTCGACTTTGTCAAAATAACTCAGAAGGTGATTATATAAACAATAAAACTTTTTTGGGGTTTTTTTAAAAAGGTCTCGACCTTGTTTAACATCAAGAAATCGTGTAGAGAGATTTTACTAATGATACCAACCAATTAAAAATTAAACTCAAACTTTTTTTTCATATAGCGATAACATATCATTCTATCATTAGTTAGTTTTAAAAGAATGCTAAGATTAATTTGGTAATTTGTACATGAGAATCAGATTTTCGTAATTTATATACATGTCAATTATAACTGTATAACAGATATTGATATTGAATAAGTATTCTACCAATCGAAAGTCAGATATAGATTTATAGTCACCTGATTAAATCATTATTATTATCGATTATATATGAGGTTAAAACAATGAGTTGTATTGTTAATCAGAACAAAAGAAAATGATAAATATTAATTTAATTAAGTCAAGTCTACATAATAAATTTTCATTAATAGTTTCTCACAAATGATTAAAACCAATAATTCAGAGATTTAGAATCAAGAGTCATCACATATTTGAGAAACCGAGATTCTTCTGATCAAAGTTTTTTCTATTTTATTATGATCCTAAATACTGCATAAAAATTCGAACTACGTACAATAAGCCAAAAAAAAAGTCATATGGTTATATTTAAACAATCACATTTTGTAGAACATTTCGAGATTTCTAATTTGTTCTAACGCTAATAAATGCCAACCCTTTTGAAGAAAACTCGTTCTACAAACTTGTACATACATACATACATACATACATGCATATATTCAAAGAATTTAAATGTAAAAACCCTGTATTTAAAAATCTCTTTTTTTTTTTAATTGATTCTTAATGAATTTAAAGTAGATTCTAAATTCATAAATTGCAACAGTAATACAAATTTACCGAGTCAAAATTTCATCTCCAGCTTTTTATTCATGTAAATACCCCTCGATATCTTAATGATCATTTTAATTATACTATATATAAAATGATAAATGATCAATGAAAATAGGAACATACTAAAATTCAATTCTTTACGGATTTTTCTTTTTTAATCGATTATCTAGAAATATTATATAATCAAAGATAATTAATTGACCTTAATCACAGAAAAAAAAAAAGAGAAAGATTTATGATAAAAAGGTTAAGATCAACTAATAAATCCCTTTGTAGCATATATTGAAACTCGTTTCGGAAATTTTTTTAATATATGACTCCTGAAAAATACATGTCATAAACCCATACTAGGGATTGAATGTATGAAATGTACGCGCCCCATCCATGAGACATTAATATGTATTATAGAGACGTTATATTATATAGATATTATATTAAAGAGCCATTATCGTTATAGTGACATTATATGGGTATTATAGGGATATTATCTGATATTATATGATATTATATGATATTATATGATATTATATGAATATTAACGAGTTTGAATTCATGATATTTTAAGTTACATCACTAAATCATAATAAATAATTTTTTTGATAAATAATTTTTTTGATGAGAAAAAAAAATACATTTGATCAATTAGGCGTAGATCCATGATTACATTCATGATTACATTCATGGTTATATTCATGATCTTGTGAGCAATTATTTTCGTAAACTATATGTACGTATGTATGTAAAGAATAAATGAGATTTTTTTTAGTTAACTGAGTCAGAACCGAGTAAAGACCGAGTAAAGACCGAGTGAAAATTGAGTAAAGACTTGAGTTAATACATAAAACGGATGTACGTACGTATCGATTATCTTTCATGTGTATACATCATTAGTCATCGGGAATCTTTTTTTTTTTCACAAGAACGTTTTGTTAAAAATACCAAATTGATAATAATTTAATGCAAATCAATTGCAAGGAACAAGACAAAAGAAAGAGAAAGAGATTATTAAACTCAAATTACGGAAGTTTACAAGAACAAATATAGAAATTACATATTAAATCGTTCAGTAAAGGAATTCTTTTAGTCACCTGGTTATAAATGCGCTTGATTTAGACGCAAGTTCGGGTAAAACTTACAGCCTACATACATATGTAGTACACACATCAAATTTTATTTTCATGCGTGGTATAATATAATAAGGAAAGTTTGAAACATTAAGATATTTCAAGGTGCTCAAAGTATTCAAGGTACTCGGTGTATTTATTCAAGGTTTGATATGCAAGGCACAGTTAATATTAAAGATTTTTAGGACCCGAGTAATTTGTGAAAAGCCGGTAACTTTCCTTTTTTATTATTTGTAAAGGTTCTAATTTCTTTCTATTAACCAAAAAAATTGATTTGTTTGTTACCATCATTTTATTCACAATTTTTTTTTACCTAATAAGATCCTCGGTAGATATTATATATAAAAAAAAATTTTTTTGGTTTAATGATTTCCGATATTTGTCAATTAAATATCCCAATGATCCATATTAAGTTAAAATTTTAATATTTCACAGTACGTACCCCAAGTATTTCAAGTAACCCCAATTTCTTGATACGTATATTCATAAAATGATGGTCATGTTACTAGTCATTTTTTTACAAAGTTTGGAATTGTGTTAATGTAGATTAAACATTTAAAGACAAAGAAAGATATAACAAATTTTGGAGTTATTAAACTATATATTAATGTTAATATTTTTTTATGTTTTCTTTTGTATAGTCTTTTAAGTTTATTGTATTATTAAAATTTTATTTATATTTTATTGATACGTATATCCTGATATGATCCTGATATGATCCTGATGTGATCCTAATATGATCCTAATATTATCCTAATATTATCCTAATATTATCCTAATATTATGTGAAACGAGAATATCTCACATCCTATGGAAAGATTTTTAGTATCGGTATTCCAGAATTGGTCATGCAGATTAAACATTGCATGTCTAACCAACCAATAAATAATTTTGAATTTATTATCTTTAATAATAACTTTAATTTGAATTACCGTACTTTAATAAATGATTTTAATATTAAATTGTATATTAAATTGATTATCTTTTTTATCTTATAGCATCAAAAAGGCTTAATTAACCATCTCAATTGACGATTTCAATTGACGATTTAATCGACGGTTTAATCGACGGTTTAATTGACGTTTTTAATTGACGATTTAAATCGACAGTTTAATCGACATTTTTAATTGACGATTTAAATCGACGGTTTAATAGACGTTTTTAATTGACTATTTTAATGACAATTTAAATCGACGGTTTAATCGGCGTTTTAATTGACGTTTTTTAATTGACCATTTTAATTGATTGACGTTTTTAATTGACCATTTTAATTGATTGACGACCATTTTAATTGATTGACGGTTTAATTGACGTTTCAATTGACGTTTCAATTGACGTTTTAATTGACTGTTTAGAAAGAAAATGTCTATCCAAGACTTGCCAAAATCTACTAGCACTCATAAAAAGAATTGATTATCTTTGATTAAGAATCAATTAGTTGAATATTACCATGCACGAATACAAATTTTATACGGATATCACCGACACTTTTTTATCTTATGGTGGAGTAAAATTGTGTAACTAATCTTATCAATTACTTTTTTGAAAAAAAATAGATATATATAGATTAATAATATTTCATAAACACAATCACATGTTCGCCCCTATGATCAATATATAGTTTATTAATTAAGGGATAGAAAAATGTTTCATTCATTATTAATATTAATATTAATATTAATATTAATATTATTAATATATATATATTATTAATATTGATAAGATTAATATATATTATTAATATTAATAAGATTAATATATATTATTAATATTATTAATACATATATACATTTTTTTTTTTTTACATCGGTAATAAAAAGTTATCCATCCGATGACACGGAAAATTTACTATTGGATGAGATTACCTTAACGTTAATTAGTTTTAGGTACGCCATTCCATTTCATTAAAAAGGAAAAATTTCGATTGGTAGAAATCAAAATTAGTTTAACGTTAAGGTCACTCATGTACATAAATATATATATTTGATTGATTATATTTTTGATTTCCAATCAATCGCGGTCAGTTTTTTTTTTTTTTTTGTCAAGGGGTGATTTACATATTAGTAAAAACATTACTACGTAGAGCTAGTGCTAGTAGATATTTTCTTACAATTAAGTGTACACACGTATGAACGTAGATTCGTATTAGATATCGATATCAATATATAAACGTTATATACCGATACGTTCCATTACGTACTACGTAGTAGTAACTTACCATATGGAATTTACTAACTATTTATCATTAATTACATTCCGAATTCCATCTCAAGACATAGAAAGATATAAGACATAGAAAGATATAGAAAGATATAGAAAGTTTCAAAAAAAGATTTAAATGGCGTAAAAATTGGTATAAACCGGAAAATCAAAACATATTTAAGCCACGATAGGTACAAAGTAGGGTAGGGTACGTACATAAGTATGATACGCAAGTACGAGTCAAAAGATATACCTTTTTGAAAAAGGTTTACTTTGAAAAGGTTTATAAATAGAAATTTAATAATTTAAATGAATGCAAGTAAATGCAGGATAATTATAAGAACCAGGCGTCGGAAGTATCGGTATGTGGAGACAAACCAGGGTATAATAGGGTATAATCGACAATAACGATAGGGTACGTATACACTATAAGGCATTATAAAGTATATCATATATCATAATGATAGTGATAGGTATTACTTATCCGATGATGCAGTTTTTGTCATGATTTAGTGTAACGTCTAATAGTAGCACGCATTTATATTAAACGCATACGTATGAAATTATAACGATAAATTGGCTATCATGTGATATATATAGAGTTTCTTTGCAAATTTGTTCGAACAGATTATACTTTACATACTTTATATACATACTTTATATACATATTTTAGATACATACTTTATATACATATTTTACATGCATATAGAACAACATATAACAATATATAGCAACGTATAGCAACGTATAGCAGATATAGTAAATATATAATATATAGTTATTTGTAAAAATACTCCATTATATGGTTTGGGCCCCGTAGGGGCTCAGAAATTTAAAGCCAGATAAGTAAGTTATTGGTGCGTAGCCGATAACTTACGACGACTGGACCAACTGGACCATCGGAACAACTCGAGTTATTCTTATAGTCCGATCATAGTAAGCCATCGGATAAACATTATTTATTATGCGGTATAATTAATCAAACAATTTCAAACACAGACAAAATATAGCTGAGACAGATGTTGAAAAAAGTCCGCTGCAAACAATATTATTTATATTAAATCGGCATTCATGTACATAAACATCCATAAACATCTCTAACATTAACATTAATACCTTAAGTATCAGATGAAAAAGAAACTAACCACTCTCGGAAATTTTTTTTATTAAAGTCAATAATTAATTGGAGTCTACTTCCGTAGAAAACGTGTCATAATTTTTTTTTTTTTTTGCATGTGTTAATTTAATTGGATATATAAAGAATGTCCGCCAATTCCCGGAATCACGAGTCATCTTCGTCTTCTAATTTAAAGTTGATGTAATACTTTACTCATTTTTTCTCATCATTATAATACAAAAAATGTCACGTTTTTACTTTTTGCATTTATCGGAAAAATTGTCCCATTTAACAATACAAAAAAAAAAATCATGTGGCTGACTTTTTTTTAATCATTCTAATGATTTTTCTAATAATCAAATGAAATAAATTAATTACCGGAAAAAATATATTCAGTATTTAGATATTATATATAGTATTTAGATATTATATACAGTAGTTAAATATTATATACAGTATTTAGATATTATATACAGTATTTAGATATTATAAGATATTATACAGTATTTAGATATTATAAGATATTATACAGTATTTAGATTATATATTCTCAAAATTAATCTTCCGAAAGTGATATATTCATAATCTCCCGAAAGTGATATATAATTTAGTAAATCTATCAAGATTATAAAGTGTGAATTGAAATTTATAAAATTTATACGTAGGAATTTATAAAAGATTTATAGAAATTTATAAAATTTATAAAAAAATTTATAAAGGGTAATCATTACAAACCATTATCGGGTCATTTTTTCACCGTGCATCGTAAATGACCCATCGTAAATGACCCGATTGTAAATGACCCATCGTAAATGACCCGATTGTAAATAACCTATCGTAAATGACTCGATTGTAAATGACCCGATCGTAAATGACCCGATCCCATTTTTCACTGATATGAACTTTCAACTGATAATGATATAAAAAATGTAACGACAAAAGATTTAATAAGTTAACCCGGGAATTTTTAAAAATAAAAAGATTTTCGAATTAGTTAAATAAATAATATAATAATACAATGATAAAATTAACGGAATTGGTGAAATGCAGTTCCTGTTAGAAACGAAGATCAATATTTATCATATATGTATTTGAAAGATACTTTGTTAAGTAAGATGTCAATTATTTAAATTCTTTATATGGAATAATTTATTATTTGGAATAACTTTTTTATGAGTCATAACGATAAATATATATATATATTTTTATCGAACGATACAAAATTTTCCGTTTTGCCAGGGGATTTTATCAAGAGATTTACCAAAATAAGCTGCGGAAAAGCGCAGGTTTCTGGTTTTAGACATATATATGAACTTGAATAGCAGTCTAAAACGGAATATTCTACACAAACACCAGAGACAAACAGGATTTTTTTTTTTATTTGTCCCGAGAAACATCCATGTATCACTTTCGGTATCAGCATTATTACTTGGTAAGGTTAAATCCGTTCATAATGATTTGCCGTGGCGTAGTCCGTAGCAAAAGGGTAAAATGTTTGAATGTTTACTTACGGTTGGTTGATTTTTACTAATAAAGGTCTATTATTTCTCTCAATTACAAAAAAAAACAAATATTAAACAGGCTATAATATAAGGTAAAAAATTGTGGCGAGATTTTTTTTATTCATACCGTATATACATATTCATATACATATATATACACATATATATATATATATTCTATCATACGATAAAACGATAAAACAATAAAAACAGTTATGATAAACATTCCACAGCTAAACTTGTGATTGAATGTCTTATATGTGATCATTAGATGATTTCCGTATCGTACGTTAATAAAAGACTGATTTCGGAAATCTCGGAAATAATGCAGGACTTTTATAATGTATCATATAATTACGGATATGTTCAATATTTAAAATAATATTCATATATATCATGAATGATATTATATTCAAATATTCAAATAATAATAATAATATTCAAAATAATAATAATAGTCAATAATTCGAAGATTAATATTAACATATTTAATCTCATTAAAAAAGGGTCATTTGACGGAGTAATATTTTTTTTTTTATATATATATATATATATAAATATAATGAATGTTTGAATATACACAGGTATACATATACAGTTAAAAAATTTTATACTGTATATTAGAAAAAATTTTTTTCTTTTTTTTTTTTTTTTATATAATGACTTGGCTTATTATAAACAATTACTGTATAAATGTTATTATAAAAAATTTTTTCATATAATATATATAAATAAAATAAATAAATATATATAAATATATATATGTACATATATATAACATTATACAATTTAATCGAAAAAAGTATATATACACCACGTCTGCGAACCTTTAAATCACTTACCCACTTCTTTTTCTATTTTTTTTTTTATTAACGACGAAAAAGTTAAATTTTTTAAAAAAAAAAATTTTAATCGCTTTCAAGAGTAATAAGCTACGTATCATTAGCTAGTTACTTCTGCTAACGAATAATAAAAAAAATTTTTCCGCTTTTTATAATAATCGTACCGAACGACAAAGAATACTTTGATTTCTTTTTTTTTTTTTTTTTTACTTTTAAACATATCAATCAGTATCACTTCTGAAAATAAAAATAACCAAAAAATATTTAAAATCCTGGAACATAAAAAAATCAACATGCCAGCCATCACCTGCACTTCTTCATCCGTTCACTTGACTGGTTCACCCGTAGCTTCACCAACAACTCCAACCGCTAGTAACTCTTCAGAATCAACTGTTTCGGCTGTCACTGCAGGGATGGCGGCTCTATCAATAACTCCTTTAGTAAAAACGTTGATCGTGGACGACAACGTTATAACAGCTAAAATGCTTTCGAAGATTCTCTCTAAAGAATTTGGGCATCATACTACTTGTACTGTAAGCGGCAAAGAAGCACTTGGTAAATTATCACTTGAAACTTTTGATATAATATTTATGGATATAGATATGCCTGAACTTTCTGGCATAGAAACAACCTTAGCTATACATGCTGCTGGTTCAAAAGTACTTGAAAAAAATCGGCAAATACCGATAATAGCTTATACAACAAATCCTTGTGAGGATCGATTTTTTGAAGCAGGTATGACTGGTTGGGTTGGAAAACCTGCAAATCAATCAATGGTTAGAAAAGAATTAGAAAGAGTTTACGCTTCTCGACCAAGGTCTTCAGGCTTCTAAAGTCTTTTTAGTTTATTACGGTCATTTGATCATGACCACAATATTCACAATATTGGAGATTACTGTATTGTTACCGTAATATTAGCTTAGCGTTGGGTTTATATATATATATATATATAATATATATATATATATATATATTTGATATATATTTTTCTTTTGACCCTTTTTGACAAATCGGACAATTACTTTTATCCCTGCATAATTTTGCTTTCTCCGTATTTTTCTTTCTTTCTTTTTTGTAAATAATAGATTTTTTGTGGTAAAGTACAACTCGGACAATCTCAATTTTGAGAATTTATATTTTTTTTTTTTCACACTTTCTCACATTCGAAACAACATTTTACACCTCATCTACACGAACAATATTACATTATAACACATAATAACACATTTCCCGATTATTATTTTTTTTTTTTTACAATCGTAAATAACATACGCGACAAAATAACACAAAATAATTTGATAAACGCTATCAAATATATCAAAACGAAGAATACTTTTTTTTTACGCAATATACTCACTCTAAATTATGTAAATATGAAACCATAATTGTTTTTTTATATATATATGTATATGTAATTAGTAATTTTTTTTTCACACCTTAAGTATATGATTGAACCTTATTACCTTCCGTATATAACATTCTACATTACCGTCTTTTTTTATATGAAAAAAAAACGACAAAAACGTTTTAAAATAGAAATTATTACATTCGAACAATTTTTTTTTTTATTTTCTAATTTTTTTTTCTTAGATTTGAATACTTTTGGTTCCACATATCCTTGAGGCTTTTTTTTTGTAGTAGTGGTAGCAATTTTTTTTTAAAAAAAAAATAACAAAAAAAAAATTTTAATAAAGATTGTAAAAAAAAAAAAAAAAAAAAGCATTTTCACAAACATAATTTACGTGTTAAAATTTTATTAAATGTTATTATCAAATGTTATGTCATTATTAAGTTATATACATACGTGAGTACGTATGTAAAAATGTCATCGTATATTTTTTTTTTTGATATTATAACTGTAAATAAATGTGGAGTACATTTTTTTTTCTTGAAACGCGTCATACAGATAAACTATATTGATATGACTATATACTACAATTAATAATGATTATTAGTAACGATAACGAATAATAATTATATACATTACAGTATATTTACAATTTATTACAGTTTATTACATTCAGAATTTTCTAAAAATATAAAAACTTTACACCAAGTTATATTGATAAAACTTGTGATAGACGTTGAAATTTTAGAATCGAATATAATTCTAAACGCGATTAATTTTAACGAATAAAACGATGATTGATTTGACTAAAGATCATTTTATTGAATATAATTAATATCAATTTTATTTATTTATTTATTTATTTTACCGTTATCCGTTATTTTTTATTTTATTAGATACTTTTTATCAATAATATTAAAGGTTACGAATAAATTGTATATATATATATATGTAGATATAGGTATATAGATATAGGTATATAGATATAAGACGTATACATAAGACTTATACGCAAGACTTACTTATACGTAAGACATTATATATATCATATATATCATATATACCTATCAAATATATCAAATATATCAAATATATCAAATATATCAAATATATCAAATATATCAAATATCGTTTGATAAATATCAATTATCATTGCTAATGATGTTTTCTATTTTTAATCTCTTATAGAACGACGTTGTGATACTATTAAAATGTGAAAATGAAGGGGCGGAGAAACACCAAGTGTAGCGATAAACTTGGTATAGTTTTATACAGTATTACTCATTCTATAAATTAATTATTATTACCTATACTATTACAAATACGTCGAATTACTAGATTACTAAATTAATTAAGTTCAATAACACCAATGGTCAATGATCGAGTGGGGAAGATCATTCAACTGCCGACTGTATGATAAGATCCTGTCGTGTTACCAAATTGTACACCGTTAACAGTTTCTATTAAAGGAACTATGTATTTATAGAAAAAATTAGTGGCTCAAAAAAGACTTTCAATTTGTTTAGTATGTGGCCATGCCTGTGAACTTTTTTTGTAAAGAAACGTTCGTTTTTAACCAATTAATTCTTGAGAAAAATCATGTAATTTCAAGATTTAATTCGTATCTTTGTGCTTTTCTTTTTCCACCTTTGAGCATTGCGATGGCTTATTGTTTTCTCATCTTTAGTTTTCTGGTTCTCTAGTCTTCGCCTGGGTTTTAAAATCATAATAACGATAAACACAGTATTATTATCGGTAACGGTATATCTAACGAATAAATTATATGTATTGATATTGATATTGATATGTAATAAATATCTACATACATATAAAAATCTACATACATATAAAAATTTACATACATATAAAAATCTACATATAAAGTAATATACATACATATACATATAAAAATGTAATACATATTTATACATAAAATATATATGTTTGGTCGTCGCGCTCGCGTTCTCGTGTTTTGGTACCTTATTTATTTTATTTATTATTTGAATCAACCCGCTTAAATATCTGCAATACATTTAGATATTTAGCACGGGCTAAAAAAAAAAAAAAAAACTTGTAATTTAAGAGTTTTTTCATTTTTATAGAATCAATTCATGGCTTAGCGTTAAATTCTCTTTCATTTCATACTATCTATCAAGAATAATTCATGTAAATCAAAAAATATATTTTAACGTTAACTGTTAATTCAACACACTTTTTTTAATATCCATATCCATTTTTTCGTATATTATTTACAGATGAGATTTTTGTTTGCGTAAGACAAGGCGTGTAAAGTGAATACCTGGTAATAATAACTAGAAAATAAACTAGTCATTTCAATTGGTTTACCTTTTGTTAAACCCATTGTTTGACGTACAGATTCTTAAATATTGGATACCCGATATTCGATATTCGATATTTATCTAATCTGATAATTTTAATCTTGTGTGATCTTGGTCAAAAGATATCGTACATACGTAATATATAGTCTTTTGATTATTTAGTGATATATTTTTTTTTAATGATTATTTTTATTTTATTTAATTTATTGATTATTTAATAGTTATTTATTCTTATTACATTCCTTCTTTCTTCTGAATAATAAAGAATCATGTATAACGGTAAAATCAAATAATCAAATGAAATCTAAATTTGTCGTAATGCTAAGTGTATACTTGAAAAAATTATATGTTGCTAGCATTAGCAGTGAATTAGCTGTTAATTGGCTGTTAATTAGCAGTGAATTAGCAGTTAGGTATATCGATATTGATATTGATATCGATCGACAGACCCTAAAACCTGCCTACCTAAAATCATGATTTCCATTTATCAACACACACACACACATATATATATATATATACATAATTAGATAATTAGTATAAGAAATAATAAGAAGCAAGGGGTTTATTTGTATACATGGTCAAACCACATTGCATCGGAAAAGCTTTTTGTTTTCATCAGATGATCATTTATTTATTTGATTATTTGGATTAGTTTTTCTTTTTTCTTTATTATTATTATTTGTATTAAATACCAAATATTGAATACCAATATTGATCAAAATACGTATCGGTATATATATACTAAGGAGTGAATATCGAAAAAGAGGCACGGCCTTTATAAAAAAAAAAAAACTTGGTTTATGATCAAAATCAGAATTAAAAAATCAGAATTAGGTAAGCATCTCTTACCGTATTGCTATCTTTATCGTTATATGTACATTTGTTCGTGATTTCTTTTTTTTTGGTAATATTATAAGCGATACAGTATACGTATTAGTGAATTGTAGTGAGTATTTACTATTTATTGATGCAATCAATTAACTTAATTAAATTTGGTTGATACCAGTTCTAATTTAACGTATACATGTTCCCTAAACGAAGGAGTTAGAAAAGAGACGAACATGTGAAAGTAAGTAATAAATATCTGTATGATAATTTTTTTAATAAAGTTTTTTTTTCTAATCAACCGATGAAACAGATGAAACATGCGTGAAAAATAAACTTATCTTGTTTGTAACAAGTACGCAAATGATCTTGGTGTAGGGACATAAAAAAAAAACCTTAAATTTAGTGAAAAAAAAAAGTCTAAAAAATTATTAATAACGATATGCTATTTTTTCCATTATGGGATAAATTTTGCATTAAATTTTTTTTTTTTTTAACAATAATAATAATAAAGTAAACTCTGTTGTTAATTTTGTCGAATAAACAAAAAGGGATTAATTCATGACTAGTTATTGGATGATTATACGTTGAATGAAAACCCTGACATGAATGTTTTGCAACTCGTGAAATCAGGGAGTTAAAAGAGATCTAGACTTTTTCCCCTTACTTTTTGAAATTATAATTTTTATTATTTGAGTTGGGTAGAGTTTTAATTTGGATATCGATAAGAAGAGATTGCTTCGAAAGGTGATATTCTGGATAAAGAATATACGTATAACAACAATAATAATTATTATTAACGTTTAGATAAATAGTGCATTAATGAAATCCATGGTTAATATTAAAGTTCAACAGTTATTATTATTATTATTATTATTCATGCCACGAGATGATATTTACGACGAGTTAACGAGATAGACATTATTGACGAGACAGAGATTCCTTGGTAGAATTCCGATCAGGAGCACTTCTCCGTTCAGCATTCTCCCGCATATTACCGTTACAGTATTAAAATAATCTTGAAGTTTAACACCATATGTAAAAGTGCACGAGCTAAGCCTCATTACACAAAAAAAGATCAATTAAAAAAGGAAATACACAAAATTTCCGATTTAGTCTAATAAATGGTTATATAATTTGAGAAAATACCCATGAATTAAAGAACTGAACACGCGCGAAATCATCTAATAAGAGATAGGTACGTAAAAAAAAAAAAAAAAAAACCTCCTCACAGAATTAATCTGAATTAATAATCGATACAACATTTTCGGTATGGTAAAACAAAGAAAAACAAAGAATTATTTATGCAGTTTCTCAC